TTATCCAAACTCAGACACATTCCAAATCCAACTTAAATTCTCCCTGGTCCTCGTGGACTTTCTCCTGGATTTCGGTTCACATGGACCTGTTCAAATAGAGCTCTTGAAATACACTATTTTGCAGCGGCTTCCTATTGATCCTTAGGTGTATTATCTCCCAGTACATTGTACTGTATCTAGGAGATTGTATCTTCTAGATTGTAAACTCCTTGAGACTAGAAGTATGTTTATCATTCCTTGGAGCCTCCAGAACATAGCTTCTGTGGTGGGTGCTCCATTGATAATCATTGATCACTTGCCAGGTGACTAACCCAAGGCAGCTACCTGCACGGTTTGATGGAACCAAGAAAAATGATTGTTCACTGAGGATGAGATTGTCAGTGTTAGAGGTGCTTAAAATGCCAAAAGAAAGAACGGGAATAAAGCTAGAAATATATATACCACCCAGTGATTCTGTGACTTTGGATAAATTATTACCTTCGGTGCCCACATGGTTTGAATGAGAGACTCAACCAGACAAGTGACTCAGGGCTTTTGAGAATCTGATAAAAGCTAAGGGCTCTTTCCTTCACATAATGAAATGGTGTTCACACCTCAAATCTCACACGTACTTTCTGAGAACTCCAGCCCCGCAGATGAAGTGATCTGTGAGGTCCGATGCTCCTGCCTGCTGCGTTGCAGTGGGAATGCTTCTTCCCACCCAAACGAACCGCTGAGTGAGTCTTGCTCACTTGAATCAGGTCACTGGGATTTGGGGGCCACTGCCAACACCTTGCTCGTGCCCCTGAACTCTGCTGCCCACCCACCTCCCAGAGGTACGGCACAGCATGACCAACCCAACCCCACCCACTAGTTGGAAAAGGGCTTACGGTGCCCACTGCGGGTGGGTGCCCACCTTTAGCCGGAACAGCAGAGAATTTGTTGTCTGCTTCTCTCCCGGTGGCCTTTTGGTTTTGGGGGGAATTGACGAGTGAGTGTTGCTATGGTGATTTGACTGACAACTGTGTAGTTGAATAAAATAATTTTCTTTAGTTAAAAAAGGGAGCTATTGTTTTGAGGGTGATCTGAGACAATTCATCTGCCCGTTATCTCTTTCTCACCCTCACCTTTGCACATTTGTGCCTTGAGAGACTCTGAAAACATTTAAAGGCAAATCCCATGAGAAAAGCAGAGGCCCCGTGTTAAAGGTGTTGAACCGGCCATTCAATCTGCACGAGCTGCCTCTCTCACTCCAGATAAGGAAATTAAAGGTTAATGATTTTCATCACTCATTCGAGGAAAAGAGAGCTTTCTTTCCTGTATTAAATGAACAAACACAAAATAATCACCCTTTTGGGCAGGCAAGGGTGTGTGCTGTAATGTTTACATGAAGATTGCTGCAGAAATTTGAGTAAATGATTGCATCTGAGAACAGTCAGAGGCCATTTCCTCTATAAAAGCTGCAGGGAGGCTTAGCAGAGACTGGCCACCGGAAAGGAAGGGTCATCTTTTCTGGCTTCACTGTTAGGGGCTTTACCCTCAGGCTTTCCTCTGTGAAGTGGCTTGCTCATTTGCATTTGTAAATGTGCTTCCTTCCACTCCCTGAGGTGTTCTCTCTGAATATGAAGTTCGTTCCCACAGAAGCCAATCTTTAGGGAAAAGCTATCAAGGAGGCGGAGCCCCACTCCCTCCAGGGCATGCCCTGACCTCTGCTTCTCCAGAAGCGGGGATTCTCCTCCGCCCGCCCACAGAGCAGCTGAAGCATCTTTTCCTGGGCAGGAGGACCCCATTTGACATTCAACAATCCCTGCTAAAGAGAAAGGAGGCAGGCATCTGCTAAGCAACATGTGTGCCCCCCCCCCGAGCTCCTCCTTGCAGGCAACTGAGTCTCTGTGTTCATGCCCAGCAAGTGTCTCTTCCAGTGCGGACATCAGTCCTCTCTGCTTTCTGCCATCTGAATACCTGTGAGCAGAGGTGTTTGGCCACAGAACGCTGGGCGCAGGGCCAGCAGCGAGCTCCAGGGTGGAGAATAGCCCCAGCCGCTGGTGCCCTGTGTTTCACCCAGTATCGAGCATTTTCTTAGTCCAATCTTCCCCCATCAACCCGAGTTGGCCTCACCACGTATCAGCTGTGTGACGTACGGCAAATGACCCGCCTCTTTGATGCCTTAGTTTCCTCTCTAAAAAGAGGGGATGTGGAGAGGGGTGTTTAAGATTATTGTCGACTTCATAGTGCAGTTTGGGGAAGCCAGTGAGCTAAAAGTGCTAGAACATGCTTGGTGCAGTGGTTCCCCTCACTCAGGGTTTCCCTTGCCACAGTTTCAGTGATCCGTGGTCAACCATGACCTGAAAATACTACACTGAAGATTTCAGAAGTAAATCATTCATGAATTTTAAATTGCACCATTGTTCTGCGTAGCGTGACGAAATCTCGAGTTGTCCCCGTCCACTCCTCCTGCTGGGGGCGCTATTCATTGCTTTCTCCAGGGCATCCGCACTGTGTGCACTGCCCGCCCATCAGTCACTTAGCAGTGTTATAGGAAAACGAAGCAACCAGACACCGAGGGATTCTGGAGTACGAGGCTTATTATTAATGTGCACGGGCCCAGAGGAGTCAGTCTCCAAATTCTGAGCCCTGAACAAAGGATTCTTGGGGGTTATATAGCCTAGGGGTCTTCCTGTCTACGTGGCAAAGCGGGATACAGAAGCAGAATGCAATTATTAGTTCTGTCTACGGGGCAGAAGCAGAGTACAAAGGCTAAATGTGAAAATTGGTTCTATCAGTGGGGGTGGTAGTCCCAGTCCTACTGACTATCCGGCTATTTGCTTTTCCCAGACGGCCTTATCGTTCTCCTACGGCGCCTGGGGTCTTAGGTGAGCAAAGGTCTCCTAGGGCTTCTCCCTTCAGCAGCCGTCTTGGTTATCAGAGTGACCAGTAGGACGGGCAGACCCACTGTCGTAATGTCGTACTGCTTGTGTTTAAGTCACCCTTGTCTTACTTACCAGTGGCCCCAAAGCACAAGATGCTAGCACTTTGGAAATGCCAGAGAGAAGCCGTAAAGTGCTTCCTTTAAGTCAGAAGGTGAGCACAGTACTCAAGATATTTGAAAGAGAGAAACCTCATCTACCTAAGTTTTATTACAGTACATTGTTATAATTGTTCTAGTTCACTATCAATTATTCTTGTTGATCTCTAATTGGTAAATTATCACAGCTATGTATGTATAGGAAAAAACATAGTATATGTTCAGTACTATCTGCAGTTTCAGGCATCCACTGGGGGTCTTGGAACGGACCCCCCTGGATAAGGGGGGATGGCTGTACTTCTTAAGAACTGGGTAAACGGTGACCGTTCTGAGCTATCAACTCAGAACTTGCACTCCATCCGACTTGGCCGCTCACGCTGTCCCTGCTCACACACAATCATTCCCATTGGGCAGCCCAGAATACATTTCGATATGTAGTCAAGGAGATATTTTGCATTTTTTCCCTTTAAAATCCAATGTATGTTTTAAACTCACAGCACCTCTCAGTTTAGACTGGCCACATTCCAGGGGCTGCCTGGCCACCCAAACCCAGGTCTGGAGTGAGCGGGTGGCCCGGGGTAGCCACCTGCTCTGGGCCATGGGGCGGTCCCTTGGAGAATGGCCGACACACGCGGGTGCTCACACTCTGCCAAGGACATGCGTCTTATTTCACCTGCACGGCAGCCCCTTAGGTAAGAACTTTTGTTACTCTAAAGTTGTAGAGATGAGAAAAATGAATATTTAGTGAAGTTATGATGGGGGACCCCCCAAAACGGAATTTATTCATAAGAAATTGTGTGCTTACTCTTACATGTTTAAACTTCAGTCACCTTCCAAGTACTCTCCATTTGATGCAACGCACCTGTCGAGACATTTTTCCCACCGCTCGAAACAGTTTTTGAACTTGTCAATTTGATGCCTGTCAGTGCTCTTGCTGTTTTTGGTTTCATCTCTTCCACATTGGCAAAGCGTTTTCCTTTGAGGACTTTTTTGTCCAGGGAAACAACAAAAAAAAGTCACTCAGGGCAAGATTGGGTGACTAGAGAAGGTGGGACACAGGGTTCATGCCATTTCTGGTCAAACGCTGCTGAACGCCCAGTGCAGTGTGGGCAGGTGCGCTCATAACTCACCCCAAATGCGCAAACGCGTTGAAAGAGTCTTTAAAAAAAATTCACTGAAGCTGAAGACAGCCTCTCACAACAACACCAGCTGATGCACTGATGCAGATGGGTTCCTAGAAGGCTCATGGAGCAGTGTAGGCAGGGACCACCAGTGGCCTGCCCTCCAGGAGATAGCTTTGGTCCCTGCCACCCCCCGTAAACAGGGCTAGCGCGTGGCAGAGGCAGGACACCAGCGGCTCCGTCAGCCCAGAGCCCCACTCCGACCCTGCACCCCCTGCTGCTCCTGGATGGCAGCTCCGAGTGGAGGCCTGCACCCTCCGGGAACGTGAGAAAACTCCACAAGTTGGCCCCATTGTGCAGTTGCGTTCAGAGTAAGAAGAATGGCCGTGAACAACAGAGTCTTCTTGGCTTTTCTGTGACGATTCATACGAATTAGTCACCCCACAAAATTTATATCTGTTTATTTTGTGAACAGACGGTGAGTGGAGGGGACCTGTGCTCCCCTGACCTCCAGGAATGGGGGCCCGCAGGGGAGGCCTTGCTCATGAAACATCTGGAAGACAGAGCCTCGGACAGAGCCTATGTGGGGATTTTTTCTCTGCCGTCAAAGCTGCACAAGGAAAAGCGGCCGGTCTTTAAACAGTGCTTAAAAACGGCCCCTAAGCAGGACCTCCTTGCCTTTATTGGCAGGGACTTAGAGATGATGACCTGTGACTTCATGTCAAGATGACTTTTGGGAGGGAAACGCTCACTCATTTTTGTAGGTGCTGCTCCCAGAGGCCAGGCACCACCAGTTGACACAGCCTGTGAATGTCCTGTCCTCTGCTGTTTCTGATGACCGCCTTTTGTTCTGTTCTGTTCTTTAATCACCACAGACCAGATTTCGACCAGAGCTGGGCCTTAATCCAAGAGCACGTCCAGATGGACTCCATGGTTATCAAGGGCCTCGATCCGCACACCAAGTACCAGTTTGCTGTGAGGGCTGTCAACCCCCACGGCCCGAGCGCCCGCAGCCCGCCCAGCGACACCGTCCGGACCTCCCGTGAGTACCGGGGCCCTCCGGAAGGACAGGCCCAGTCGCGTGGCCGAGGTCGCCGAGGACGACCCACTGGGTGCCCTGCAGGAGGGCAGCCCACACAGGGCGCTCCAGGGCCTTCTCTGCTGCAGCTTTCCCAGCCCTCGGGGTGTCCGAGGCTTTTGATGGGGACACAAGGTCAGCAGATTTATTTTCGCGCCGTCCTGAGGGAGCGTGAGGTCAGTTTTCTGTCATGATCGCAGGAACAGAGCACGTACCACAGCCCGCCCCCCCCCAACTTTTTATCTTTTGAGAACACGGGTTCATTTTAAAATCGCAGGATTAAAGACAATGCTCCCAGACTCTTCAGGGCTACTGCTCGCGTGCCAATCGAGGACACTTAGGCAAATCGGTCCCTCGGATGACGGTCAGGGACAGCCCAAGGGGGCCCTGGAGGGGTGACAGGTAACTGGGGGGCCCAGCTGGAGCATCAGTCCCTGTCGGTCACAGGGCCTCTCCGGGGACTGGGGGAGCCTGGGTGTCCAGCAGGGCTCCTGAGGAGTTTCGAAATGTTAGGCTCTGGATCGCAGCCTAGGGTTTAAGAAGCTTTCCCAGGAGCGATTCAGGAACAGTACTTCAGCCACGGAGGCCCCCTTGCCACCCCTGCTTAGGGACCTTTGTCCTCTCAAAGTGGGGGCACATGGACGTGCAGCTGCAACCCCGCGGAGAGGGGAGGCTCGGAACTGAATGTTACCACTTTTTGGTTTGAAGACTGTACTCTCAGTTTTTGCCAATAAATTCCTCCAAGTTTTTGTCTGAAGAGCCCTGTGGTCACCCTGGGCCTTCTTTCCCTGGGGAGGAAGCATTGCCTGACACTGTCCCGAGTCCGCTGGCTTTCCACCGGCCAGTGCAGAGCGCCGTTTGGGTAGTAGGTCTGAGTAAAGTCCTCTGTGCTCTCAAAACACCCACACAGCTGACTTCCAAGGTCAATGCTCTTATCGGGGGTGGAGATTCACCGAGTCCTCCAAGTGCTAGGAATTTTGACTCTTCTGAGAACAGTAACCCCTGCCCTGTCCTTGAGTGTCAGGGCTTCTTCTGTCGCCCTTCGAGTGGGATTCTTGGGGGAGGTGGACCTGTGAGGAGGCCACACACACACTGTTGCAAGCACAGTGACTGTGAATGGAGGGTGGACTCCTCTTCTTCAGAGTTTAGAAGCTAAAACTCCCCAGGCACACAGTGGGCCGTGAAGCGCCTTCTTTCTAGAAGAAATGTTAACGATTCTGTTTCACATCCCAGGAGCGCCTCCCTCCACTCCTGCTGGCTGAGGTCTGTGCCGTAATCTTTCCTTAAACTTGTGATGCGTAGCCAAAAATCCAGGTAACAGGAGCTGGGGCAAGCCTCGGATCTGACTTTTGGACATTTAGTTTGTCTTCGTGACAAGCGGAGCAGGCGCCCAGGGTGCCCCCGCCCCGCTCCCCGCCCTGCAGCCCAGCACCGAGCGCCTCTGCTCCCACGCCGTGAGCCACACTCGGCCCCCTCCTTCCGTCCGTAGTGTCCCCTCCAGAGACAGGAGCAGGGTGAGGGGGAGCAGCGCGTGCTGGCCCTGGACGTGGTGTGCTCATCGGAGCGGGGCGGGGGCAGGGGCCCGGGGTCTGGTCTCGGACTTTCTGATCGTCGTGACCCCGTTGGTGGATCCCAGGCTGGTGGGTGACACGAGAGAAGGACGTGAAAGTGCTTTGCGGACACGTACCATTTCATTACCACTGGGCTCCTACGCTAAATAAAATTTTATCCTTTCGGTGATTGTGTGCGGGCAGGTGGCTGACTGAGGGAAAACTCTCGGCTGTGGAATAGTCTTAACTAATACAGTCGAACTGCTTTGATGGATACGGCTCCTTAAATCAGGGTGACGGAGGCAGACCGTGTCACTCGGCCTCTCTCAGGGACCCCCGAGAAGGTGCGGTAACTGGGGTTCCTGTGGTGGGTTTTCTCACAGTCCCCTCTGCTGTTCCAGAGAAGCCCACACTCCGGCACACCCAGCTTCGTCTCTGCTTCTAGTCTAGACCATTGTTTCGTTTCCAGAACCCATTTTCCCGCGCGTGAATACTGCATTCCCTGGTGGCACTGTTTGTACTGTGGTCGCTTGTCGGTACCAGAGCTGCCATTGCGAAAGCCCCCCGTGGCCCAGGCGCCACGCCGAGCAAACCCCGTGTCCTTCCTCCCGGAAAGCCTCGTGCCGGCCGAGTGGCGTTCCTTTGTCTACATTGTCACAGGGTGAGTTTTCGAAAGGTTGCGTATTTTGTCAAGAATGGAAATTATAAAGGCAAGATTTGGACTCGGGTTTGGCTGCCTGCAAAGCCACTTCCCCGAGTGAGATTCGAATGAAAGGACGTTCCTCGTCTTCTAGTGCAAAGTGGCACGAGAGGAGGGTCAGTGATGAAACACAACAGACGGGCCGAGGAGGTCCTGGCAGCTCGGGGCCAAGCCGTGGGAACGTTTTTCACTGAGAACTTGTGAGCCGTGTCGTGCATCTGCGCAGGCCTGAGATTCACCCAGTCGCATCCCAGTGGCCCGGGAGCCGGTAGCCCATGGCCCTCCCGACTGGTTAGATCCCAGCCCAGGTAAATAGTTGGAAGGTGGCCCTGAGGGAGTTTCTGAGAACGGCGTTGCTACCTGCTGGGCTCTCCCTCCTCAGGGTCCTTCCTGCAGGGATGTGTTCTTGGTGGGATGCCCCCTTTGCTCCAACGGGATGTTCAAGGTCACGGCTCAGGCGAGGACCTGAGCAGGTGAAGGTGCCCATACGGAGCCCGCAGATCCCGCCCAGGGCACGGCCACTCGCCGGGCTCCTCTTGCTTGTTTTAGGCCTCCACCCTCCTTGTTCCAAGGAGAACAGCACTTCAGCTCCACTAACCAGCCAGCACTGAATTCCCCGGGACCTGCCAGCGCCAGGGCCTGTGAGCAGCTTCACTGCTTCGTGGGACGACGCCTAGATCTTTATGTCTGTGGCTGATCAAAGCCAGGGCCAGGGTTTTATCAGGGCTCCGCTCAAGTGAGCGAGGAAGGAGGAGGGTGCTGATGGCTTCCCCGGGGTGTTGCTAGGTACACTCAGTGTCCACAGCTCATCTCCACAAAGTCACGGGGCAGGGGAAGAAGAGCCTACGACATTTTAGTGTTCCTGCGCCCGAAGGAGCGAGGGAGCCTTTCAGTGACCTGGACGGACAGTGGCGCTCCCCTGCGTCTGCTTCCATCCTCCTCACCGGGACTCGCCTGCCCTGCCAGCACCTGCGCTGGTCCCCCAAAGGCAACACGGAGGCTCAGGTCACGGTCTCTCAATTTTTGCCCCGACCTGCTACATTTTTTAAGCGATGCCAACAGTATTATAACCTGCCGTGGCGCTCCGTGGTGTTCTTTTACCCCCGTGATTAATTTCGTAAATGAGCCCGTCGTAACAGGGGTGTCTGTGGACCCTCACAGACGCGGTGCACCTGTAACTTTGGAGGGCACATGCCAGCCCCGCCAGGCACTTATTCTCTGGGATCTGAGAAGGATGGGACAAGTAATGACAATATGAACTACAAATAATAGAGATGGCCAAAGTCAGAAAGTGTGTTTCTTTTTACCAAAGGCAAATGAAATGGAATCAGAAATAACTCACACTCCCCATGATGGAGGCGGCGACAGAGCCCGGTTCTCCACCGAAGTGAACTTGGCATCCTCAGGGCCGTCCCCAGCTGACGGTGTTCTTTTCTTCCTATCGAAAGTCATTTCCCTCTTTCCTGCCTGGAGGACACCCTGTTGTCCCTGCTGGAACGCTCCCTCCCCAGACTCTGCCGTGACCGTCCCCACCGCCCGCTCCTTAGCACCAATGTCACTTCCTCGGACAGGCTGTGCCCTCGCTGCTACCTCAGCCCCGTTCCTGTTTGACGTCCTCTGGGCCCTTGTGAGCCCAGAGCTCTTCTTCAGAAAGGCACTTAACCCACATCATCTGTATCCAGCCTCCAGGCTAAGCCCCACCCTGGGGTGCAGTGGTTGGCTCCAGGCTGTTTTGCAGCCCCCTGCTCAGAGGCGGTGCTCCAGGAGTGCTGCCTGAGTGCAGGAGGGACCGGGTGTGAGTTGAGGACACAGGCACTGCCTTGGGGGCTGGCTGACCTTCCCCTCCCGCTGTCCAGGAAACTCAGTGGGGAGACGGGAGGAGAAAGGTGGTCTAGGAACCTGCCAGCATTGCCCCGTTGGCACAGTGTACAGGCAAAGTCGAGCCCCCAGAATCGCAATGTGACACAGATAAGAAAAAGTAAATACAGTAAAAGAGGGAGGCAGGAAGGAAGGAAGGAATGGAGAAAGCAAATCCAGGGGGATTACGTTCAAGGCAAGGAGGATGGAAAAGAGGCGTGTGAGAGAGATTCCAGCGATTCAGAGGACAATTCAGTGCAATGGAAGGTGAGCAAGGAAACAAAACATTTTCTCTCCAAGCCCGTATTTTGTGCCTGTGTTTTTTCTTGATCATAATAAGCTTTTATCATTTTTATACTGAAGTGTTTTTCTGGTCCTAAGACGTCTAGCTATGGTCTCAGAGCCTCGGAGATTGCACTGGGAGGCATGGGAGATGTTTGGTTTCTTTGGTTTTTGCTGTGTTCTCCCCACAATCCGATTTCTCTAGCAGTTCCAGAAATACCTCCTTCTACTGAATGAACTGAGACAAACCCTCCCTGGCTCAAAGCAGTCAAAGTTCTGCAGTAAAACTGATTCCACGGTGTCCCCGCCACCCCCCCACCCTTCACCCCACTTTTCCCCTCTGCCTCCCTGCTCACTCAGATGTCACTCAGTTCAGCTCTGTTGGCCGTGTGTGTCTGTATGTTCACGCCCTTTGTCACGCAAGTGTCTGCGTGTGAATCTGGAGTTTTCCCAAGTTTGCTCTGAGATTCGGGCCCTGGTTTTTAATTGCCTGACCGTCTCCCCAGGGACAGCTCAGCATGCCAGCATTCCTGGGGAGACGTTGTCACTCTGCAGCCACAGGACAGAGTTCCTTT